ACCCGTGTGCCATCACCATAATCCCGTGCACTTCCCTCCCCACCCCCCTGTTTTTGATCCCATTCCCCACTCCACCCCCACAAAATGTCTCTGGTATATGGTTGTTCATTATTCTTGTTATTTCCTCGCCTGGTCCATTATACTCCTGCTATGAGTGAAACCATCCGGTATTTTTCTTTCTCTTTCTGGTTTATCTCACTAAGCATGATCTTTTCCAGCTCCATCCAAGTTGCTGCAAAAGACATGTGTTTCTCCTTTTTGGTGGCTGAGTAATATTCCATTGTATATATGTACCACATCTTTTTAATACAGTCATCTACTTTTGGGCATTTGGGCTGCTTCCCACTTGCGCTTTTTATACATCTGCTAATGAGCATTTGGACCGTTTCCAAACACACCTACTATATATATTTACAGTAGGTTCTTGGGTAGACACGTTCTTGTTTCTCTTGGAGAGTTACTGTGATTCATCAAGGAAGGCTTGCTGGGGGAGGGACTCTCTGTTGCCTGGATGCTAAAGCTGTCTCAAAGTCCCTACCCCCCTTCTTCCATGGCAGCCAGACTGCTCCTCTCCAGAGGTGACCCAACACCACAAGGCCCCAGCCCAGAAGGGTTTCCTGCACCTTCCCCAAAGGCAGAGAGATTTTTGAAGCCCTAGTGGACTTTTATCTGGGTGCTGGGAGGCACAGGATCTGGCCCTCTCCTGTGACTCAAGATTTTTGTTTCTTGGAGACCAGAATATGGAAAGGTAAGTGGAGTTTGGCATTTTTCCTCAGCAGTGCCCACACCCCTCCTGCTCTGGCTTGACTGAGAGGGTTCACTGCCCATCTCAGGTTCTTCGCCCGTGTTTTCCTATGCCTCGGCGGAGACCCACACATAAAAGCTATCAGTGTGTGCAAACCTCCCGTGCCCGAGGTCTCCAGCCCCGCCAGCCACACACTTGGCTTCCAACCATACCTTGAAGTGTTAGCTTATCTGTTCTTACCAGCTTTCCTGGAGGCTGTCTCCCCCTGCAACCCTCAAGGCACGCAGGTGAGCCACGGCCCTCCTAACCCAGGGGAGGGGCCTGCCTCCCTCACGTTGAGGCCTGGGCTGCCCTGTGACCTCAGCTCCCATGAGCTGAACAAAGTGATAATTCTATCATCTCTCCAGGCCTTCCTCACTGCCCTGTGGGTGCCAAGCCCGGGCCAGTGCGACATTCTCCTGTCTTTGAAACCTGCCTTTCTCCTTCCATCCACTACCCTCGGCAGGACTTTTGCTTTTTTGTTGTTGTTATTCTACAAATAAACTAGCAACATTTATTGTATAATGGCCAGGTGCTTTTCAAGCAATTTCTCATTTTTTTAATTCAAATATTTCTTTATAGCAACATTTTTGTACAGCATTTGAGTCTCTCCTTGGGTGTAGTGTAGTCTTGAGTTCTCCCAGCACCATAGCACCCATGACTCATCACCCTAGTCCCTTGTACTCTTTCCCCCCAACTCTTAACACTCCACTTTTTGGGGTACTAATTCATATCTCCTGCTATCTATTGCGATATAATTCGCAACCTCAAAATGTAGGGACTTAGAGTCTCCCTCGTGACACAAGGGTTAAAGTCTCAGTGCTCTCAAGCTATCTGGCCAGTCACTGCAACTTGAATTTAATCCCAGGCCAACATGGCCCAGCAGACCTCTCCTGTCTCGCTCACTGCTCCCTTCAGCAGTGTATTTCAGTCAGTCCACCTGTTCTGCTCCCTATTCTGTCTCTAGGAGTTCTCTCAACTCCCACATCCTGGTCCCAGCTCTTCTACACAAAAACAAATAAAAATAAAGCCTTAAAAAAAATTGAGTGGTGGGCCCTCCATGGAGGCATAATGGGTTAGGACGCAGCACTGCAAGATGGCCACAGCCGCTTCAGTGTGAGTTTGATTCCCAGCCCCTATGGCACAGCAGACTTCTCCTGACCTGCCCGTTGCTCCCCTCAGCAGTGTATTTCGTCGATCTGCCTGTTCTGCTCCCCACTCTGTCTCTGGTGAACCCTCTCACTGCCCCTGTACCTCTGGCTTATACCTCAAATCTGTATACATAAATAATAAATAAATCTTACCAAAAAAGAAAGCTACTTTAAAACAAAAGATTGAGTGGCTTCAAATGAAACAACCTGCCATTTCTCATAGTTCTGTAAGTTGCCAGCTCCCTGCTGGGCACTGTCCTCTCATGGGGCTGCTCTCAGATCTTTGCAGAGACTGAAATCACCCCAATGTCTGGGCAGCAGAGAAGACTCCTCATTGGCTGGCAGATGATTATAGAACCCACTGCGGTGAGTGGAAGGAATCAAGGGTCATTGCAGGGCCAGCTTCGAAGCCAGCCAAGTTCTGCCTAATGTACACAACAGGACCTTTCACAGTTAGGTCTTAAATGTATCTAACTATAAAGTGGACACCAAAAAGGGAGACTATTTTTGTGATGAGGTAGAAGGAGGCTTATTAAAAAAAAAAAAAACAACAAAACTTTAGAGACACAAGATTACAAAATAGAGGGGGAAAAGATTAATCTTACGATGCCAAAATTAAGATTTCTGCCAACAAAGGACATCGTGAAAGAATTGAGTCTATAGAGAAAAGGGAGGCTCTATTTGCAATATCTGAAACTGACATGCAATTAATGTGATTAATTGCGCCTACATAGACACTCCAGCAAATTAACTAAAAAGTATAAAAGCAGTGTAGATTATAAAAAAGTTGGCAAAGGACAGTAGAAAGCAATCGCAAGCAATAAGCCCCAATGCAAACAAACATAGGAAGAGGTGTTCAGCATCACAGATAATAGACAAATGCAAAGTCAAACAGCAAGGTATCATTTTATTTCTATTAGCTAGGCCAAAATGCAAAAGCTAGATAATGCCAAGTGTGAGTATGAATGTGTGAGGAACAAAGCGAAGTGGAGCCCTCCAAATTGCATGTAAGCTGAGGACTGACTGATGCAGCCGTTCTGGACTGGACAGCATCTGGAGCTCTGGGGATACATACCCCCTGGGGGAATGACTGGGTTTGTGAGACATGCACTTATTTACATTGCCTAGAACATTCCTGCAGGCCAGAGAGCTACTGAATTGGGAGAGACACCCCCCCACCCCAACAACAGCACCATTGTTTTGTCCTGTGTGCCTGTATGTCTGTCTGCAGGTCACACACTCGCATGCTTAGGCACTAGTGACGGTGGTGACACAGCTGGAGGCCACCCCAGTGGTCATCACTGGTAGCGCAATAAACCCCGCCAGAGTGGTACCACACAGCACAGTCTACCATAGACAAACACACATATAGATGCAATCCCGGGCACACGTGCACAAGAAGTCGTACAAATAAAAACACTCATGAACACATTAGAAAGCACTATTGGGAGGAGAGGAAAACAAGGGGGCGTGGGCATAAAGGTTAATAGGAAAAATGGTGTTTAATTAGAGCACTTATATTGGCTGACTTCAGGACTTACAAAGCTACAGTAATGAAGACAGTATGGTATTAGCATCAAGATGGACAAACGCTGACAGACTGTCAGGGAGCAGGGGAACCTCTCCCTTCCCTGGATTCGTCTCAGGCTGACCAACTGACTAAATGAACACCAGCAAGATTGGTAGGAGAAAAAAAATAATTTAATGACATGCATACAGCTCTTCTATAGACATAGGAAGCACAAAGACAATGAGGGAAAATGGGAACATAGAATCCTGAGCTTGTGTCTGGTGGCAGGACTAGGATGGAGCATCAAGGGCCTGGAGCACTCTACAGAGACATAGGGAGCACTGACACAATGGAGGGTGGGTCATGTGATGAAGAGCAGCCGCTATAATTAGCATAGTGGGAAGAAGTAGCTGGTGAGGCCAGAGGCTCCCGGTAGAAGAATCCACCAGACAGTGGAGAACGGGAAAAGGCAGATTTATTGAAATACGCTGGAAGGGGGAGGTCTGCACATAAAGGACTTGGGGGTCCCTTTTATAATTTGTTTTTGGGGTTTTTTCAGGAATGGAGGAGTCAGCCACTTCGTGCTGGGCTATCTGGTCTTGGAGTTAACTTTTGATGCAGAATGTGCCCTGGCCCTGGGCTGCATTCATGGTCAAAGTGACCAGTCTTGTGGCCTCGTTCCCATAGCAACCTTATCAATTTCCTTTATTCCAGTATCCCAAAACTCTTGCTGGGCAGGAGTGGGGGCTTAGTGAAATGACACCCTGACAATCAGATGTTTGCCCTGCCTTATACGCAGGTTTTTAGGCAGAAAGGTTATTTCTGGTAATAACCCCTATTTGGGTAATATCCTCAATTTTCATCCTTCTAGGTAGTTAAGGGAGTGGTTACCATTTCTCAGGAGGTTGCCAGGGTCTTCTCGGACGTGAAATTAGCCACATGCCAAAGAGGCATGTCTTGGGGAATCCTATTCGGAACCTTTTGGGCAGGTCTTATCCTCCAAGATTAATGCAACAGAATAGAGAACCCACCAGGCAACTCATATAAATATGAATGGTGAGCCTAAGTAATGATGCAGATGCACACACCAAAAGGACACACTGTATAATTTCCATTTATTTCTAGAAAATGTAATCATGTCCTCTTTTAGAGACTGGAAACAGCTCAGTGGTTGTCTGACAAGGGGGGAAATTTAGAAGTGATGGCTATGATCGTGGTTATGTTTGCACAGGAGCATATGTCTGTCGAAAGGCATCAAACTGTATACTTTAAATATGTACATACAGTTGGATGTTAATATCTCAAAAGCATTTCTGCAAGGTCAATCTCGCGCCAGCCTTGCAGAGCTGTTAAGTGACAGTGCGGATCCGACTCAGAAGCCTTGGTTGGGAGCCTGAGTTCCAAAGCCCCAGGTCCTGGTTACAAAGGCCGGAGGAAAGTGCCGGAAGGGAGCAGCCGGAGCTGGCGGCCCCGCGGAGTTAATGATTACGGGCGAGCGGCCCCTCCCCGGCCCGCGCACCGCCCCCCGGGGCCCAAGCGCGGCCCCGCCCGCCGGCCGCCCAGTGCGCCGCGAGCCCGCTCGGCCGCCACCTGCTGCAGTTCCGAGTCCGCGCCGCGTCCAGACATGGTGAGGGGCAGCCGCGGCTGCGATCCCCCAGCTACAGTAGGAGTCGGCAGGCCGGAGGGGCGGAGAGAAAGGGGCCGGCGCGGGGTCTCTGCGGGGCGGGCCGCGGGGAACAGGGACCTGGGTGGCTCGGTGGGGGCGGGGACGAGCTTTTCCAGCCAGTAGTCGACCTGCCTCACCCGATCGCGGAGAGTGGGGGTCACCGGCCCGCTCCCACCTCCCAGTGGAGTCCTGGAACTCACTGAAGCCCGGAAGGGGGAGGTGGCATGGCGGGGACTGGTTGGCGAGGCAAGGGCCTAGGTCTGTCTGCCCCCTGCTAGCCAGGCCAGTGTCCCCTAGGTGGAGAAATGCAAGGGGGGGGGGGCAGGGGGGAGGGGGGTGTTAGTGGGAGGGAGCTGGGGGGGGCAGCATGGGGAGTCCGCAGACCACCACCCCCCCCTCCCCTGGCAGGCTGCAGGCTAGGTGGTTCTGGTCTCTCTGTGGTGGGTGTAGGTTGTGGCCTGCTTGTGTGTCAAAGCAGGAGATTCCATCTCCACGTCCTCTTGTGCCTGTACTGACTAGCACTCAGGGCACAAGGTGGCAAAGACCAGCGTACACCCTGTGTCCACCCCCCTCGCCCCCGCCCCTGGCCAACCTCCCGATGGGGACCTGATGGCTCAGGGTCTAGCTGGCAAGAGGGTCTCAAGCCCTGTGGTCGGCTGTGCTGCAGGGAGTCTAGAGTAGGGAGTTACCTGACAGCCTGGTGAGGCTCCAAAGCCCTGGAACAGTAGGGCCTGTTTTGATGGCTTCGGTGGGTGAGGCTATGTGGCTCCAGAGGCAGGACATAGATAATCAGTAACCCCCCTGCACCCTCCCCAGGAGCCCGTCCAGGCCTGACTTGTGATTGCTAAGCAAACAAGCCCCTGCCCCCTCTCCAATTCTACCTCTCTAAAGGGCTTGTCAGTGCAGCTCCAGGCAATGAGGATTGGGGGATTCCAGAAGACTCTGAAGTCTTCTTTGGGGAGGTGGGGGGCTCTCCTAGGAGCTCACTAGTACCTACCAATTCCTCTCAGAACCAGAGAATGAAACAGGTGATTTCTAATGCCTTGGCTGACATCTGGCCATCCCGTTGCCTGGAAACAGGGCCCAGGCTTATCAGCCACTGAGAAAGGGCCAGTCTGGAATGGAGCCAGAGCCTAGCACCAGATACAGATCTCTACTGCTTTTCGAGGCCTGCAGAGGAGCCGGACCAAGCCAGATCAGCCCAGAGACAACATGTGTTTTCAGAAAGGAGAAAATGATTGAGGGCTGGTGCCCTGCAATGCTTTTCCAATCTTACCCCAAACCAGCCAGGCCTTTCTCAGCCTCCTTGCCCAGAAGTCTTATAAAAATGCAAATGGTGTCCCCTTAATGTAAAACAATGGCATTTACTAGTGTCACACTGGCTCCGCTTGCTCACCTGTCCCTCTCGCCCCCTTTAGCCCAGATCCAAGGGAGATGTGCCCCAGGCCTGCCCTGCCCCCATGACAGAATAGGTGCTTGACCCAGTCCTGCTGACTCTGCCCAAGGCCTCCCATCTTAGGGCTGCGTCATACACACTAAATTAACCTACCTCAGATTTTCACCCGACCTTATAATTTCATTTCTAATTGAGCACGCTCAAGTTCCTGCCCTTGGGGTGGCTCTGTTTCAGAAGCCTAGACTCTGGAACCCCTTAGTCGCCGAGACCCGCATCCTCCTAGAGGATGCAGTTGCCCTTCATACAGTTGGTTCCATGTGAGTCCCACTCATGGCTGCGATGCGTCTATGCGAGCTGCCTTCAGGCCAACAGGATGGACATTGGGTTTGCCAATGCTGTTGACACGTGTTCTTCACTTTGGGGACTGGCTTGGTGGCCCTGCCTTACCAAGTGGACAGACAAGGTGGGAATCTGAACAACCAGGCCAGGCAGATGGGAACCAGAGGCTGCAGGGACGTGTGCAGCACCCTGGGAAGTAGCCTGCCAGCTGCAGGGTAGCTGAGAGGGGCCTGGACACGCTGAGTGATTCCCTGCAGGGTGCAGGCTCAGACCCATTGTCAGTGCTCTCACCGGCTGGGGGCTGGGGGCTGGCTGGGGGCAGCGTGAGGGGTGGGGTAGAAGTGGGGGAGGTCAACTCCCCTCTCTAGGCCTGTTTCCTCTCAGTACTCCTGACACGGGTACCAGTAGGGGCATGGGGTAGACTGGATCTGGCCCACAATAGAAAAAGGAAGTTGGCCAGCCAGTGGTTCTCTTTCTGAAAGGTTGTGTTGTAATACAGACATATCTGGGCTTGAATTTGCTTTTATTCCCTTGTTAAGAGACCTCGTTGTTTTGGGGCTTTGGGGGGAGGGGAACAGGGCTCTGCAAGGCTTCGGGGGGCAGGGGTGGGAGGAATATGTCTCAGTCCCATGACTTCACTTACACTTCGGAATGGGTTTGAAGTAGAGCATCAACCCTTAGTCTGTCCGTTCAGAGCTGCCTCCCTGGCTTTGGACAGCTGCCCTCTCACTGCATCCCCAGAGTAGCCAGAGAGGCTGGCCCACTGCCCCCGAAGGTCAGTACCCTCTTTCGTCCTGTAAAGAAATGCCCTTGGGCCTCTTGTTTATTTTCTTCCTTTCGTAGGCTGGCAAAGCACACAGGCTCAGTGCTGAGGAGAGGGACCAGCTGCTGCCGAACCTGAGGGCTGTGGGGTGGAATGAGCTGGAAGGCCGAGATGCCATCTTCAAGCAGTTCCATTTCAAAGACTTCAACAGGGTACAGCGCCAGGGTGGGGACAGTTTTCTGAGACCGGGGCTGATGGGGCCAGACACTCCAGACTGGCCTCTCCCTTCCAGTCCTCATACTGAGGATGACACGACACTACCTGTTTCCTGGGAAAGTGACATCCGGGGCGACTGGAGGGTGGAGAGGTGGGTCTTGGGCTTTCCCAAACTATCCTCAGAGGAGATAGTTAGGGCAGAAACAGAAGGGCATGGGAAGACATTTTAGTACATAGCCAGAATTGGGCAGGACAGAAACGCAAAGCTGTCTGGCATTCCCACCCCCTTAGTGATTCCAGTAACAAGACTTTCCTCCTGCTGCAGAAAGACTACCTGTAACTGCAGCCTGAGAGCCACTCGCAGGCTGCCTAGGGCATGATTAGAGCCAGAGAGGTCTACATCAGCCAGAGAGCTAGCCCACCCGCCTGCCTCTAGACTGACAGTGGCCTTTACAAAGCCCCCAGCTGTGTGTGTCTCTCAGAACTCTGACCCGGGTCTCATTTCACTAAATAGGCTTTTGGCTTCATGACGAGAGTGGCCCTGCAGGCTGAGAAACTGGACCACCACCCTGAATGGTTTAACGTGTACAATAAGGTGAGGTGTGCTTGCTCTGCATGGCCTGTGTGAGTTCTGAGAACTCCAGTTCATTCCGAAGCCCCTTTTCTCAGACCTACCCCTGGTCCCTATTCCACCCAGAGGCTGACCAGCCACTGGCCACGCCAGTTCAGTTCACCTCCTTCCACAATCCACATAAACACCCCTGGAAAACACTCAGTCTCATTAAAACACTGGTGAGATCACTCGTGGTCAAAGGAGGCATTGAAAAGGCAAGTCCGACGGAAGGCAAGGCTGTGGGATTTAGGCAGCCTTGATGTTATAATTGCTCTAAATGGCCTACATCATTCTGGAGGCATGAAGAAAAAGTAATAAACTTGAACTAAGAATACCCATGCACTGCAAACAGATCAGACTGTCTGCTTAATGAATTGAAACAGATTAAATGCTTGCCGTTTGCCAAGAGCTGTGCTGGGCTCTCTATGAAATAAACATTAAAACCCGAAGAGACAATCTGGGAAAGGGTAGCACTTAGGGAGTTGACGTTGGCCTTCGGCCTTGCGGGCTGTCAGCTCCTGATATCTGGGTAGTTCCCTTTTAGCCTACAGCTGAAGTCACCAGAATTTTTGGAGATTAGTAGAAAACAGCTGGCACTGTTGAAGACCTGTCAGGAGCCCCCAAGACAGACAACAGTGACTGGTGGTCACCCTGGGCTCTTAATGTGGCCAGACCAGTGGCTAGGGACTCCCTCAGGCTCTTACGGGAGGTCATGGGATCCGCTGGCACCGAATCTCTGGTTCTGTTTCAGGTCCACATCACCCTGAGCACCCACGAGTGTGCAGGCCTGTCAGAACGGGACATAAACCTGGCCAGCTTCATCGAACAAGTAGCGGTGACCATGACCTAGACCGGCCCTTTGGGTTCTTCAGGGGAAGGGGTGACTGAATGGGAATCCGGAGGGAAACTGGGGAGCACAAGGAACTTGTTGCATTTAGCTGCCTCTGCTTAGGGGCGAGTCCTGGCTGCAGAGACGCCAGCATCTCTGCCAAGACCAGGAATTAGACCTTTGACCCCCACGCTGCTCTCTCCATCCTTGGGGCTGTTACATGTACACTAATTTGAGTCAGATCTTCCCTTTTATAATTTCCAAGCAGTGATTTTCTTTCTGGCCATATCTTGAGCCTTTCCTGCTTCATTTCTCAAGAAGCTGTGTAGAACTGTGTTCTAAGATCGATCGTCTCATCTTAGAAACCAGGGCCCTAAAGTCAACCCCATCTAGTAATAACAGAAACATGCTTTCATGCCTCAAATAAAAGTATTGTTTCACTTGGCCTCAGGCTCTAGAATCTTTTCCACAAGTCAATCCAAAGTGAAGTCAGTGGACATTTAAAGCACTCAGTCTGTGCAAGGCACTGTTCAACGCCCTGGGGGAAGAGCCCAGGCCACTCTGCCTTCCAGTTGTTCACTATCCTCTAGGGGACTTCAGGAAAACAGCAAACCATTACCAGGCAGGGTGAAGTAAGTTACTGCTAGATGCAACAAGTGAGCTAAGGCCAGACGAAGTGATGAGCTAACTCGGGAGGCTTCATTTGAGTTGTACCTAGAAGTACTTGAATAGGACTCTTGAGGCAGAGGCAGCTCAGAAAGCCCCTGAGCAAACACAAAGGTAGAGGGCACCTGTCCTACTTGCCTGCTGGTGCCACATTTTGCTCTCAGCCTCTGACATCTGACAAAGAAATTTCTAATCTTGATGGTTTCCACAGTTCCTGACACACTGAGCTGACATCCCAAGGCTTACCTGCTTTTCCTCTCTTTGGGAGACAACAAAAGCCACAGCCAAGGAGGGGACAGCTTATTTACAGCTTATTTATTCACAGAGGCCATAATGCAAGCAGCTGGGAAGCGGTTCTGCTCATGAGATCTCACCTATTACCCCAAACTGAAGCTGCCAGGGTCCCAAGGCAAAATGACCCAAGCTATAAACACAAAGTCACCTGGAGAGGCGATCTAGCATTGATTACCATGACCCAGTTATCCAGGGTGAGCTGGCCCTGCAGCAGGGCCATAAAGAGAGCTGGTGGCTGAAAAATAAGCATCTTACTTGCGAGGAGGGACTGCAAGACCTCCTTCCCAGGCTGTGGTTCCTCCGCACTGTGGCCCTCCGCCTGCTCCACTGCTGACTGAATGACTCCAAGTGTACTTTGACCTTCTGACCGGGTTAGGATTAGGGGACAGAGGCGAAGCCACCGAACACAGAGGCATGGACTAGTGTTCTGCCACCTTCCTGCCTCTACTCATTTGCAAGGATCAAAGGTTGAAAAAACACCAACCAAGTGGACACTGCAGTTGAGGGAAGCACCTTTGTGTGGGACAAAGACCCAGGCAACATTTTTTAGAAACATTTATTCTTATGTTAGTGCAAATAATTGAAATTAAAGGGGCTGATTACAAAAAAAGAAAAAAGAAAAAAGCACCAAGAAAAAAGAAGGCAAGAAAGAACTCAAAAAAAGGCTCCCAAATCCTGACTTCTGCTAACCCACAGTAGCCTTGGTTGTTGTTGAAACTTGCTTTCGCCATTTCTTGTGTCACAACTGGGCCTAATTAACAGCAGTTTGTTGCTGCCAAGGACCCACAGAGAATGTTTATACCTGTAAGGAGCAGGTATAAGCATGTAAACACCCCGGTATCCTAGCCAAGCACATGCCAGTCCCTCTTTCTATAGTGTAGAGTGCACCCCAAAGCAAACAGAGGCCCAGGGGACTGAGTCATTGAGCAGAAAACTACTGCACAGGTGGCATGCCTCGGCTTGCTCCTGGGGAAGTCTGAGTGGGCTGAAAGACACTGAAAAGCAGGGTCACCTGAATGACAGCCTTCAAAACCAGAATAACCCTTCGGTATGACTTCTCAGTTATGATGGCGCAAGCAGCTCAGTCACGTTGGCAGACAACCCGAGCCGTTCTAGCAGCTCCCAAACCGAACGAAGGCTACAAGCTATTCCAGCTGGCCGGGGGCCACCCCAGGCGACCCAATATGTCATGAAGGTACACACAGCAATGGATAATGAAAATGACAGAAACATAAGATGGTGCCCAGGCCTCGGGTCACTAAAAGACCTGAGTTCTAGACCTTAAAACAGGTCTGATCACCCTGCTGGTGGCGCTGGAAAGACAGTGTTTCCACCTGGGCAGGACTGCTGTCCCCGCCTCAGTGTTCTACTGGCCTCAGTATCAGCGCCACACACAACCATTCCACCGGAAGGGGGCGCAGTCTCATCACCAGCCAGGTCAGGGGCTGCTGCCACCGAACCCGGGATCTAGCCTGGTGCCTAAATAAATAAATGCAACCATTCATGACGATTAACATTTGGGACATTTTATTACTTAATTTTTTTCAAAGATATTATTGCTGCAATTAGGAAGGGGTAACTGAGATGGGGGGAGGTTAAAGACAAAAGATTTAAGAGGCAAGTACCATTTTCCAAGTATAAAACTGGTAATATTCAAAGTGACATGGCAGTATTTTCACACAACTACTTCTACTGCACAAACAACAGTACAGTTATCGCAGAAACCAACGTGACATCTGCTAGCAACATGACATTAAGACACTCCACCCACCTCTTCCTGCTAGGTGTTACTACATGCACAGATACACACAGAATACAAAGCCCACAAGTAATAGATCAAACTAAGGCTTATGATCATAAATTAAAGTAGCTCTAGCAGGTCCCTGTGAAATATACCATCACCCCCGGCAACAATGTGGTCACAGCACAGGGGAAGGTCCTGGGGAGGCACTGGAAACAGCAGTATACCCCAAAAGGCATGTGCAGGTCAACTTCAGCAGCTGACAAGCCAGCAGGGCCTGCTGCACGCCCCCAACAGAATGGACGCACTGGGGACCCAAGAGACGCCACATGCAGCTCCCACCACAGCTTCTCTTTCGGGAGGTACCCCACAGTTTGCAACCGAAGGGAATGTGATTCCCATGTCCAAAGGATGTCATACAGACAGACACAGACACACCCCACTTTTGGAACCCAAAATAGGCAGGAAGAAACACACCCACCCACCCACACACACACACCCACACACACCCACACACACACACCAGACCCACAATGACACGGCCAGTTGGTCACAGTTACTATGCAGGAAGTACAGGGCTAAAGAACACATCAGACAAGCAGCCTGTGGGAAAGCCGGTGGGCTGGCTCTCCCGGCCAGCATTCCCACTGCGGTGGCGAGAGGATGCCAGCCTGAAGAGGCTGAATATTCAGGAGTCCCTGAGAAGGGCAATGGAACAGAGGAAAGTTTCTCCTGACTTATCCAAAGTACTCCCCTCTCCAAATAAAAACCCCAAAGTCTGGCACTTCCCCTAGGCCTGTGTCAGGAATAGCCACCACTGCTCACTGCTGAGGAAAAAGGCACATGGTACGTCATCAGACGGGACAGGTGAGGGCCCCGCGCAGGGGAGGAGAAGGTAGGAAGCGGGTGCAGGGTGTGGTCCTTTTCCCTGCACCACCCTGAGCAACTAGTCTTAGGAAGGGATCCCAAGCCCCCGTCCACAAACAACAGTTGCCATCATGTTTTCCTATTCCACAAAGTTTCTCTCATCCTAGCCAGGCTGAAAAGCATCTAGTACCTGAGGCTAAGTTGCCATAGTACCTTTTGGAGTTGAATAAAGGGGAGAAAGGCAGGAAGGACACACTAATGAAGAGAGAACATTGTCCCTGCCTGGGGGTGCCCTCACGACTCCTCGCACCCACTTAGGGTAAACCAAGGCAAGGTGTGAAGGTGCTTCTGGAAAGCTCCTTTAAGCAAACGTTCTCCTACTGATGCCTTAAAGCAACAAAGTGCCCTTGTGACATGCATCTGATGTCGGTGTTCGTCCCACTCTGATCCTCAGAGAAAACAGTCTGGCTTCTCAGCACCAGCAGGCGCACTAGGATCACTGCCATTTCAGAGGTAGCCCTGGTCCAGAAAGTCCTAGATTCTCAGCAAACCACGCCCTCCCTCCAGTCCATGGAAATAAGAACAAACCGATGGGGTTATTGTTTTCAAACATCAATCTCCAAAAATGATGGTACCCACGTGCCAAATGGAACTGCCAGCACAGAACAGGACCCAGGGGCTGCTCCCAAGCCTCTGTGTAGACAGGCCCTGCAAACGGGCAGCAGCCTGGTGATGTGTGTCCTGGAAAAACAAATTCTAATAAACTGACTCTAAGAGGGCCAACTAACCTACTCAAAGACAAGCTGAAAAGGCCTCCTGTTTAGAGTATGGCTAACACCCACTGGGGGACATCTGTTACCTAAATGCTTCCCATCTGACTAGCCAATCTGCCTGAAATAAAGAAAACCTTCTAGCTCATAAACTGTACCCCAGCTCCCCTAAGGAATCAGGGCAGGTCAGAGCTGCCACACAATGATTAAGTGGAAGTTGAAAGCTAGGGAGGTTAGAGAAGGAAATGGTTATAACAATTCCCAGGGTAACATTTATCAACATGACAAAATTATTATGTAATGGAATTTTGGGAGATCTTCACATTAAAAACCGTAAGAAAATGGTAAGAGGAGGAACAAGCATCCTGAGGATCAAACTGTCTCATGGCCTGTCTCATTGTGCTCTCTGGAGCAAGGCCATGTTGAAACTGTGCGTGGCCTATTCCACACCCCAAGAACCTTCTGGAGGCCAGAAACGCCTTGGGGCAAGAAACGGTCTGGGCTCAGTGGGGTTTTGGAGAGCCATTCATTTGGCTGCCCTGAGTTATAGCATCTGTGCTGAAAAGGCTGTCCAAGAAGACCGAGCTCAATTCTGCCACCAGGTTCCTGTCGACCGTCGCCTGGGCCATGCCGTAGACTGCACCCTGCAGAGCAGCCCAAGAAGCCTTATTAGTGACAAAGGATACAGGATCAAAGACAAAGCTGTGGTTCTGCCCTCCTCCGCCCTCCACCCATACTCTCCAAGTGCTCTACTCTTCTCCACTCCATTCCCACCCCCAGCACCGTTCCTTCAGAAAAATGGCTGGCACAGTGAAGTTTCCGCAGGTGCTTGCCAGTCTGCCTAAAGGAAATAGTCTATGGAATTTACTGTAGAAAACTCCAGAGAAAACAGCTTTACTGCCTTTGCTGTGTCAAAATTTTCTTCTCAAAGAAGAAATGCCTGTGCATATAGCATTTTCAAATTATAAGGTGCTTTAGAAACAGTCTACCTCATCTGCAACTAGAAAACCCTGGGAATCAGTGAAACCAGGCTGCAATGAACAAAGAAAGGTCTGTGGGTTAGGAGTTGAGAGGCAGGGACAGGCTCAAGGTCATCTAATTCTTTCAAACCACCCATCTAGGCTTACAGAAGAAGAAAATCCCCAAGTGTCCCTACCATTCCTGTGGTCTTCGCTTTAGGATTCTTCATGATCTGAGTGACAGACTCCCGGATGTCCTTTAGGAACTGGATAGCTACCCGCTTCCGGGTGTGTACTAGCGTGATGCAGAAATGAATACTAGGAGAGAACAGAGACACAGATGAACCTTGGAAAAAAGGAAAATGTTCTAAATTAAAGCAGCTCCCAATACGAGAGCTTTTCAACATCAACAAGGCCCACCCTGACAAAATGGCTGTTCTGCGCTGTCCCACCCCGCCCCTCAAAAACTGTCAGCTGCTACTCCTTCCATGTGTGTCTGCCAACAGAGTGTTCCTATCACAGATAAACCCTCATGGGGACAGGGCATCACGGAAGGCCAAGAGAAAGTGTATTAAAGGAAACAATGGTAGGAGTGAATCATTACAGGCCCTTCAAAAGGTTCTGACTTAAGTACTACTCAGGTACTGAGTTGGTATATGGCCATATACAAGAGATGGATCATTGTATAGAGCCTAGAAAGAGTTGAGGTACGGTGTGGAGGGACTCATGACCATCCACTGGCTAAGAGGCAACCTAACTGCCAGGGTTTTAAAGCTGTCTTAATTCTGATATTGAATCACACCAAGTGCTGGGCTCTGGCAAGCAACCTCTATCTTTCAAGTCATCTTCTTACCCAAGTTCTTCCAAAGTCATGAAGCAAAGGATGGGAAAGAAATTCAAGCTTACCTGGGTGGGAACTGCAACTGGTTCAAGAACCAGCCTTTAGCAGTCATCAGGTTAAACAGTCGATAGATGTCAAAATCGCGGGAGCCCAGGGCAATAACTGATATCTGAGGGTTCCCAAAAACAAAGATGCCCTTGACCTTTTCCAGTCTTAAAAAGAGAACAAAAAGGAAATTTAGCCACATATATTTCTCAGGTCATTATCATTTTAATCATCCAGTGTCTCCCTTATGACACAAACTAACCTTTTGGAGCCCTGGCTTGTCTACTTCTAAAATACGGTGGCTAGAGAGAAATTAGCAGTTTCTAAATATTTAAAGGGCCAAACTACATCGATAGCCAGTGAAACAGACTTGCCGGCTCCTAACCTGTCTGCCCAATTCCCATATTAAGACAATGCCCCAAAGGCATAAAAAAAAAGTATTTTAAAAAATCCTGAAAATACTCCCTCCATGTCTATAGTTTTTAAAAAGTCATATGAAATGGCCCAGCACTTCTCAACAGATGGGTATACGAGAAACATGCAGGCCTTTCTCAGATCAGACCTACTGACTCCTTTCATTCACCCTCAAGGTTCTAAAAAGGCCTTCCCAATCTCTCCCAGACAGAGAGTGAGGGAGGGAGGGAGGGAGGGAGAGATTGGCACATGATACGCAACAGACATCAGGCACAGTATGCACTCTAGTTCAAGCCTTAGGTAAACCCAGATTTTATCACACACAACCACCTTCCCCACCCCTCTGCCCGTTTCCAGTTCTTGTCTTATCCCAGTGATCGCCCAAGTGCGATTCCTATACCAGCAGCATCAATACCCAATCACAACGTCCTAGTGATACAAACACTCAGACTCCTACTCTAGAGCTACCAGATCAGACTTCTAAGCATGGAGCTCAGCAAACTGCGCTTTAATCAGCCCTTCTACATGACTCAGATACATGCTCAAGTTTGAGAACCACTGTCTCCACCACTGACCTGTACGTGAGCCCTTGGTAAGAGCTGCCAATGGTATGACACCCTGGAAACAAGATGCGCTGCAGGTGAAGCCCCAATTTGGCCCTCCAAGTCACAGCAGAGCATGGGAGCATATCTTCCCAGATTAGTGCCAGGCTCCTAAGCTCATGTCCTAAATCCGTGGTCTACAGGACTGCAAATGGGGCTGGGTCTGTGGGGGTGTGGCCACACCTTGAGCCCACCAGCATATAAAGAAGCTGTAAAGCAGAAACCCGCTTCCACACATACGTACTCTGACTTGAGGAAGCGAGTCGTTTTGATGATCTGTCTGGTTGCATCAACATATCCACTCTCACCCGTGTGCATCAAGGCAGCCCAGCAAGCTGCACTGATGCCACCAGGCCGAGAGCCTGCGATGGTTGGAGAAGCATAGATGCCACCCTGCCAATCTGTAGCAACGAAGAACTGATAGCTCCTGTATTTCTTGTCACTGTATAACAGCACTGAAGAGCCTTTGGGGGCATAGCCATACTGGGGGGGAGAAGCAGACAGGTGAGTGTACAATTGCATATGGCAGACCGGTCCCAGCACACTCGTATCATACAGATGTCTCCCTGTCATGTTAGTTTCTCTAATAATACATTTCACATTCACATTAAGGAAGAATTCAAATTTAAGACTGTTAAGTAGTAGAGGAAACTTAAAAGGGTGGAGTTTAAACTTTCTACTTTAGGGATGAGAAAAGTTAACTGGTTTACTTTCTCTCCCTCACCCAGCATGTGGTTTTCCTTAAGTAAAGCTTTTCACCAGGTGGCAAGTCAGGATGGAAGCAAAGACACCCACTGAGAGCCAGGCGAGGATGGAATTCTAGTTATTTGAAGGCCATCCCATCTTTTCGCTTCACATTACACTTGCTTTCTCAGAATATCATGGTGCTCAAAATCTAGCAGTGACTTAATCTAGCTTTAAAGAAACTCAGTACTTAGCTCCTTATAGAAAATGTGCCCTCCTAATTAACAATCTCTGAAGCTGCATGGTAATGAATGCATTCCTTGAAACACACAAGGACAGAGGGTAAGAAAAGCAGGAAGGGAGATTTCGTGGATGGTGAAGGGAAAATCAGATCCTGGCTGAAGATTTGATGCCGATCCTTTAGAATTTGATAAGCAGGTTTTTACTCAACTTTACTAGACTCCAGTTAAAAACAATTTCTGAAAGTGCAGCCACAGAGCCACGTTCCTGAGGCTGCTACTGGCCCCCTCACCTGGAGAGAGGTGAGCAGAGAGCGCGCCACCTGACCGAGGCTTCGTCTCCGCAGCAGGGGCGGCAGGCTTGGGCATTTCAGATCTCACAGCCCCAACATTCCCGAGTCCGCTCTTCACCTCTTTCCAAAGGTCCGTCACTGAGGTGCTGGAGCCCCAGCAGCACAGAGTGCCAGCATGCGCATCCTCTTAGGGATCCAAATACCCTTCCTTCTAGTGCCCCCACCCACCCCGAACAAGGTGAAGGCTTCATAGACCTTTTCCGTAAGGGTCAGTACACTAGCACGTCTTGGTTATATAGTCAGTGGACAGAGAGATTCTCTTAACCATGACACAAAGCCACAGGGTTCCTTTTCACTATTGCTTATCATCTCTATCATATACCCTGTCACCTGAATCAGCTGCCCTGGTGACAGCAAAGAGCCAGACTTAATTTTATATTTTACTATATTCATGGGAGAGATTAATATTTTATCCTGTCTACTTTGTTGATATTAGGCAAAAGTAATTAACAGTCCACTTTTTTTGTCTCTTCCCAAGCTCACCTTGTGAGTATCAGCTGATATGCTGGTCACACCTTTCACTCGGAAATCAAACATGTACTCCAATGGGTATCCTGCTTTCTCCATGAAGACGATGAGGAAGCCCCCCAGACAAGCATCCACGTGAAGAGGTATTTTGTATTTGACAGCCAGCTAGTTTCAAAAGCCACATGAGAATTTAATTTACAGTCCTAACAACCCTGTAACAAAAATTTTGCAAAATCTGGGTGGAAGGGCAGGCTATCACAAGGCCATCATGGACTGGTTTTTCATGTTTTAAAAAAATGGCTATTTTTGATATTCCTAATAAAGGGTGATTTTTCCAATGTATCCAGCTTTCAAAATAACTCATCTGAAATGTGGTGTGCATTTATATTTAAGCAAGCAAGGTCTCCAATTCACTGTAAAAATCAAGCAAGAAAGAAGCAGCACTCTGGCTCAGGCTGCCTCTGGACGGGAGGGGTCCGGCTTTCGCATCCACAGGTGGGAAGGAGGAGAGGGTACTGCGGGGCTGCATGCGGAATACCACCCCTAACCGAGTGCGCGTGCTCTCACAGGCAGATGATGTCTCCGGAATGTCAGTACTATTTTGGAATGTCCAATTTAAACAAAGACTTCTTCCTGTATTATCACTGCTCCATCGAAGAAGCTCGTGACTTTCAGAGGCCCCAAACACAGCTGCAGGGCTTACCACAGGGCTGATCAGAGCTATTCATCACGACTGTGCTCAACTCTAAACTCAGAATTGCTTCTGACTGACAAATACTGCACCACTAGATTCTATTTTTAAAAAAAATCTCGGCCCTTCCTGGTGGTGCAGCGGGTTAAAGCACAGCACTAAGAAGCTAAAGCCACTGCAGCATGAGTTCGATCCCCGCCTGCCCTGGAGGTGTCCACATGGCATGGCAGACCTCTCCTGGCCCGCCCGCTGCTCCCCTCAGCAGTGTACTTCGTCAATCTGCCTGTTCTGCTCCCCATTCTGTCTCTGGTGAATCCTCTCACCACCCTGCACCTCTGGCCTGTATCCCAGTTCTGTATGTATAAATAAATAAATCTTTAAAAAAAAAAGTTTACTTTAAAAAAAAAAATCTCAATTTGTCTACCCAACAGCCCATCTCTCACATACCTTGGCCACTTCAGGAACAGGATCTACTATGCCATGAGGAAACTGTGGGACCGAACAGACGAGCATTGCAGTGTTCCTGGAGATGGCTCTCTTCATTGCCTAGGGTTTTAAAGGGGCAAGGAAAAGAAGACACCACATTACAGTTACTCTCCCCGTGAGGTGAGCCAGGCTACCAGCTAGCATCTCGGATGCACCTGTGCCCCCCACCCCCCACCAGGGAGACGGAACACAGACAAGGCTTGACTGGTACACTGCATCTGTTTGAGGAAAAGTCATCTGACAATACTGCATGATAACAACACACACTGAAACCCCCAGTAAAATGACTGGTGATAAAATACACACATACACATACACACACACACACACACACACACACACACACATATATAGGCTAAAAGCCAAAGGTGAATCCAGCCCCACCTACTTGCAGTGAAAACCTTGAGGAAGCTACTTCCCTTCTCCAGCTCTGTGCCCTTAACTGTGAACTTCAATACCAATACCAAATGGCCTCCATCCTGCTGAGGCTGCCCTAGGACCAAATGTGTTTTGACAGCACTCTGAAAACTGGAAAGGTTTATAAGAGGCATAATCATGGTCACTAAGGGAGAATCATTCCATCTTTAAAAAACAAACCCTGCTATTTGTGACAACATGGATGAACCTGGACATCATTATGCTAGGTTAAATGTGCCAGGAACAGAGAGACGAATATTGCCTGATCTTCCTGATAGGTGGAACTGAACAGAGTCGGAAGCACAATGCAGAATGGTGGTTGCCAGGGGCTGAAGGATGAGGGAAAAGTTGGTCAAGGAGTACCAAGTTTCAATTATGCAAGATGAGCACGTTCTGGAGATGAAACGCATAGTCACATGACTATACTTATACAATACTTCACTGTATATCTGAAATCTGCTTGGATGATAGTCTTAAGTATTCTAATCATGAAAAAAATAAAAGGAAAGAAATAGTAACCGTCATGAAGTGATGGATATGTTAAGTAGCTAGATGACAAAAGTTGTATTTCATAGGCGTGGGGGAGGGGTGTCACAAAACATTGAGCCACATACCTTAAATATGTTTGTCAATAAGTAACGTAAGTTAATACCTCAATAAAGATGGAGAGGGAGATAATGCTAGTAAGAGATAAAAATCTGAGAAATATTATCATGGCATTGGTACTAATTAAGGTCAACCAAAACCATGAGTCGTAGACCAAATTTGCCCATCGCTGATTTACAAACAGAAATGAGAAAGTGACAGCACAAAAGCAAAACCCCGAAGTCCCAACTTAGGGACTGGGTCATCTGCCCATCAGAATGCATGAACCTATGAAAGAACTGAAGCCGCAGTCAATCACCACTCTCAGTGGCACTTCCTTCAATTCTGACTGCTGCAATCCCAAGCACTTCCACTCTGTCTGCAAGTTATACAGGAAAAAAACTATCAGTCAGGAGCATTTCCTGGTCCTGCTGACCCCATGCAGACAATGGCCCTTCAGGGAAACTCACCCGAACATCCACCTCCATCATTTTGTTTAGTGGAACTCGTATAATCTTCATCCCAAAATAACTGGCTGCTTTGTCAAATGCAGCATGGGCACTCTGAGGGGCCACTCTAAATGACAGGGAGGAACATCATGCAATTCAGATCAAAACAGGGTTCCAGAGCATGGTCAGCAGCTGTTATCACTCGGCGTAAACTTACTATTTTTTTCCTCAAATGTTAAGATGCTTATACTGCTTGACTTTTCTTTTTAAGCATAAATTTTTTTTCTTTTTCTTTCTACTATATTTTTTTTTCTTTTTCTTTCTACTATTTAGAAAATTGTTTTGGCAAGAGTGAAGGACTCAAAAGTAGTCTCACATGGAGGAATCCGAAGCACAAATTAGGGCTGACAGGCAGAAGATGCGAGAGCGGGAACTTGGATGAAATGGGCATGAAGCAGAGCCTGCTAGTGGCTGGCTCTCCGGAGACGGCACCTCAGTGGGAAGCTAACTGCTGCCGCATGTGCATGTTCAAGCGGAAAATGTGAGACTGCTTGGCAGGGAGGGTACAGCAGCAGTCAAGTGATCGTGGTCTCTTCCTCCTCTGAAAGACCACGATCCTGTGAGGAACTAAAATCCACATTTTTCCTACACACTGGGAAGCAGGATTTCAAATGGTATTGAAAAAGGAAACCAAGTTGTGTGTAAGTATCTGCTTTCAGACTCTCCTCAGCTACTCCACTCTTACAATTAAATCTGTTTCCTTAAGGGAGAAAAATGTGTTACTGAGTACCAAACACCAGAGTGCATAAGTACCAAGCACTGAAGATTTATGAAGAAGATTATTAAGGAAGATGTCAGCATGATTTATTCTCTTAGGCTAAATATGAATCACAGCATGAAATCATGTGCAACAAAATCTTCAGTCACTGACACTTGTGGGAGAAAACACTAAACTAAAAAAATGAGATGAGAAGACACTGCAAGGAGGCAGTCTAGAGGGCAAAATGCAAACAAATATTGAAATTATGTCTCTGGCAATATGGGTCAATCTCAGAAGATTCTCATCATTTCTCCTCCTCAGGCTGAACTGCCTTAGAGAGCAGCCTAAGGCAGCTGCTGTACTTAAGTAACTTCCACTGAACTAAGGTGAGGAGAGAACAACTTTCCCTCTACTCCAGATCATTTAAAATAAATACTACAAAGTTCAAAGATGTAATCCTCTGTCAATTTTAAAAATAAGTATTTCATTCTTACTCTGTGTATAGAAGTACATGTTTTAACTTAGGGAGTTAAGAAAGGGAATGATACTCAAAATCAGCTGGCTCTTCCAGTTAGGGTTTCGCTGAATGAAGGGAAAAGGGTCAAGGGCACAGGACTGTAAGAAAGAAGTCTGGAACTGCCAGAGGAACAGAAGCAGAAAACAAGATCTTTTCAGGCTGTTTCACACAGTAGTGTTCCCAACAAATCTCAAGAAGGAAAAAAAAAAAGCCAGATATACATACATTTCTGGAGTCTTGATCCCATTGTCTAAGGCCAGGTCCCGATAAGCTTTGCAGGCCATTAAGATACTTTCTGTCCCCCCAGAGGTCACCTGGAATAAAGAAGTGATACCATCTGTGGAGTGGAGCTAGGATCAGCTGTCAGCATGCACTCCCCGCCCTGACTGGTGCCTGCTGCAGAAACAGGTAAGGCCGATTGTATACATGCCACAGAGCAGACACAGCTGTATCTTCAAAAAAAAAATTTGCTTTTGTTGGCTAAACTCAATCTTGATTTGGGAAAGGGGTAAAATCCACTAAATAAGAATGAGTTCCACATTGTATGGACATACACCTGTTCAGATCTATGCACAATCCATCAGCTATTTGTCCAACTGTACATAGGAGAGGGAGTTTTATGACATCCAAAAGCACCAGAATTACTGATTTTGAAATTTTAGTGCCTACTGAAGAATATGCAATTTTAAATCTAGTGAATTATGCAATGCATTAGATCATCAAGGAAGACACATTCAGACATAGGAAAGTGAACTTGTGGTTTTGACAAATGTGAAAGAGAAAAAAGCAGATGCCTTTGCTTAGAAGTTTATCTTACTTGAAATAAAACAAAAATCCTAATACTCTGAAAGGAATATAAATAATTTCCTTAAGTTAAGCCTAGCCCCTCTGATGCAGATGGATTTGTTTCACCAGAATTGAAACAAACTCAGAGGTTATTTCACACCGTATGTTTTCCTCACTGGATTATATAGTCATGAAGGGGAGGTCAATCTGTTGGACAATATTCCTGGTGCCCAGCTTTGTAGCTGATAGTGAACAGACTCTTGATTAACATTTTCTTAATGCCTCATTTGACTCTTAGTAAATCATGACCAACATACAACACAGGCACGCCAGACCCATCTGGCTATTTTTTGATAACATCCAAGAGTGAAACATTTCAAAATGAACACGGCAGAGAAAAAGCCAAAGCACTGAGCTAGGTGGTTACTGTCTTAGAATCGTCACCTCCCAAGAGTTGTATAATCTTAGTTGTTGGTTTTTGTTTTTTTTTTTAATGGAGTCCCTGAGACTAAAGTGATTCATCCATGAGCATCTGTTGATAAGAAATTAAACTTTCTACATCTTCAACTTAGTATAGAGAAGGAATAAAGACAGGGTGGCTTTATTTGACATTTCCTAACAACCATATATAAAAATAAAAATGCCATCCTATATGGAAGTTCAAAGGTTATTAGCTTAGTCACTTTAGGATCCAGGAAGTCTGAAGCATGTGATCACCATCCACAAAGTACCATCTGAACTTGGGCACAGGTCACTGTGTGCAGCCTCTGCACTTCTATGCTAGAGAAGACAAATGCTTACAGCTGAAGTCATCTCTGCAAATCAGCAGCATTTCCTGTGAGCCAGCATGAATCCTCAGAATGTCACATGGGGAGTCAAACCAGTTGTGAAGAAATTTAGGAGCCGACAAGCAAAGTCTAAGTCCAATAATGACCTAAACAAAAATCTTTCCAAACCTCTACTCAACCACTTCACATGCCCTTTTATAGTCCAATAATTAATCAAATCAACATCACTACTTGTTACATAAACATCAGTGTACTTTTGGCTGCAAAATCGGGAACATCTAAATTCTGCTTCTGATTTTTATTTCTGACCCTTAAATTCTACATTTAATTATGTTGATATGCATCCATTTTCCTCCATTCCCAGAAAAAAAAAACTTAAATAACTACTTGTTATGTTATTCAACTTCTTTCAGCATGAATAAAAAATCTCCTTCCAATATCTGACTTGTTTATTAGGAAAAAAGAGTGGGGTATGACCTATTTAGAAAATGTTCTGTTATGTGTTTGTCGGGCGCAGTGGCATTTTCACAAGCCAAAATGTTTTCCCTGGCAACCTAATTTCTTTGAGTATATGAAGCTATTTCTCATCCATTCTAACTGGAAAAAAAAAATGAAGTTAATAAAAGATAAAAGAGTTTAGGTTGAAGAACAGACGAGAAGAGAGTAAGAATTCAGTTGGAAATAATCTAAAGAGAGAGTCTAGCCCATTTGGCTTTGTCTTCTTGTTTTCCATCTCTGAACTCTGAATTTTTTTTCACCAAAAGTAGCTTATAAAATCAGAGACTAAGGAGAGAAACAGAAAGAAAAACTCAAATAATCCCAGACACAATTAGCTACCTGATATAGGCCCATGTATTAGAAGAGACTGGAGGCTGTGAATACTGCCCTCCACCTGATCCCTAATACATCCCATGGAAAGATCACAATGGGAGAGACATGCCTTAATTGTAGCAATGACAATAACACAAACAAAAAAGCTTAGGTTTGGACTTCTCAATTAAAATGGAATACTGAGGCCCTCCCTGGTGGCGCAGCGGGTTAAAGCACAGCACTAAGAAGCTAAAGCCACTTCAGCATGAGTTCCATCCCCACCTGCCCTGGGGGTGACCCACATGGTGGTAGACCTCTCCTGACCCGCCCGCCCACTGCTCCCCTCAGCAGTGTACTTCATCAGTCGGCCTGTTCTGCTCCCTGCTCTGTCTCTGGTGAATCCTCTCACAGTCCCTGCACCTCTGGCCTGTACCCCAGTTCTGTATGTATAAAAAAAAAAATGGAATACTGAAACTACTTCACAGATCTTGTATCCATCACTATCTGTAGAAATGAAAAGTAGTAAAAAACTTATAGGGACAGCCAAACGAGGAAAAAGATAATCTAGTACAGTAGCTTCAAATAACGGAAAAAACAAACAAACAAAACAACAGAAGTTTCTAGAGCATAGCAGAGAACAAAACAAAGGTGAGTCAGCAAAATCCTGAGGATTCACATGAATACTCTCCAAAATGCTCCAGAAGCAAATGTGGGGGAGGGTAGGGAGTCAGCATGGGTTAAAGAAGTAATTGAAGCCATAGAATAGCCTTCCTTTCCAGCTATGCAAAGTGAACTCTGGTAGGTAACTTAACAAAATCTCAAAGAGATCTAGATATTCTAATAGTTGTGGCACTGAGCCCTGTCCTCAACCAAATATTCTCAGACAAGAAATCAATCACCCGCCATTCATCAGAACAAACAGCATGAACCAGGATGAAAGAAAAATGGCACAATAACTATGCAAACATAAAAAAGTAGCATGAAAAATAAAAGTTCAACTCCGAAGGTAATTCTACTGAAGGAACAAAAGGAAAGACCTTTTAGCTATTTCTCACTACTGGACAATATAAGAACATATATCACCACTTTATTGAACTAGGTCAATCATGTGGCTTTTAGCCTACCATCTCAGTTCACAAAGTTTCTAATGGCAGTACACTGTTACCTTCCATGTCATCGTGTACACATAAATGCCGATGGACCCATTGCTACCTTTTGCTTGGTTCAGTTTTTAAATGAAATTCTGGAGGAAATGAAGGCCAAAAATAATGGCTTTCTTAGCTACTGAATGTTTGAACATGTTGAATTTTCCTGGTGCCAACACACTCGTAAAACAGCCCTGCTTATTGGGAAAATTAACTGTAAAATGTTCTTTACTTTGAATGGGTGTCTGCAATCATTAAATTTACAGATCTCATAATGATTACAAATGTGTCTGATAGGATTTGCACCTCTAAGTTCCCATCATAGCAAATGGTTTAAATCTAATATGCTGCATAAGCGAGATTTAAATTTTCCTAGAGAAGGTAACTTTTCCTAGAGAATGGTAAGAAATTTAGACAGAAGTTTACCAGTTGCCATTTAGGAAAATTAATAAATATCTCCTGAAAAGAACCATTAAAGAAGGACTCCTCATGTGGGCCTTTAAATATGATAACCTCTTCTTTTATTCCTAAGCCAACTGAGACTCAATTTATAGCAAAATAATAAACTTATAATTCAAGTAAAACAAATAGTATATATAAAAAAATACAGTTCAATAGAATTATATGAATGGGTAAGTATGTGGATGGTTGGGCTGATAAAAGCCAAGAATAATATAGCAAAATATTTATATTTAGGTGAATTAAGTATATTCCTTAACCCAATCCAGTAACTGTATGCAGACTTACAGCTTTTTAAAACAAAAAAAATGTAAGAGAATAAAATCCCTAGAACATATACCAAATGTCAATACTCAATGGACTAAAAATTAACAAGATCTTTCTAAAACAATCACATGTTACATGTATAATGTTTTTAGTAAATGCTTTGATTTTGGCTAAAAAAAAAAACAACAAACCACGGCTACTACTTGCATATTACTTACACAACCACAGGAATCCGGTCCCCCATTAAACAGGGAACAAGCTATCCTCACAATCTCTGCCTCTATCTTTCGTAGTCCTGGGAAGATGTCTGGATGCAGCGGATTACTCCATGCAAAATCTCCATAAGCCTGCAAAGAAACACAAGCAGCTGTGACGACAACTGCACTGGGAGGGACAAAGAATCACCCATTAAACAAGTCTCTAGGTATTAGATACTGCTCTAAAAAATGCAAAATACTAAGTTACCTTCCCCAACCTGAAGAAGATTAAAACACCTGTGCAAATGTAACATGCCAAGATAAGAAGCACAAAGGTAGTTAAAAGTACAGACTAAAACACCAAACAGCCTGTTCCAAATCTCAGCTTTGCCTAGCACTTCTGTCATCTTAGGTCAAGTAAATTTAGTTTCCTCATATGCTAAAGGGAATAATTATGTTACTGATTCAATAAAGTTCTAGCAATATGTAAACAATATAATGCATGCAAAGCACCTCAAAGAGTATAAGGCACAAAACAGCCATGTAAGTCCACCACCAGTTGCATGTACACAATGGGAAAGAACATTAGAGGGGTGACGAACATCCTGAGGGCCGGAGAGATCTGCTGAGGAGAGAACCTTGAGACATGACTAGGGATTCATCATTCAGAACAGCTGGTATGAAGAAGGAAAGGAAAACCCCACAATAAGAGTATGGGCTACTCAGTTCAAAAAAAAAAAAAAAGGGAAGTGACAGCAGTGGCTGAATTGTTCATGAAGGGACTTGCATTTTACCCCATAAAGGGCCGACGCTGGAAGAATTTTTTTTTTTAATATTTTTTTTACTTTATTCATATAGAACTGGAGTACAAGCCAGAGGTTCAGGGGCAGTGAGAGGATTCACCAGAGACACAGTTGGGAGCAGAACAGGTAGATCAACAAAGTACACTGCTGAGGGGAGTAGCGGGCGGGTCAGGAGAGGTCTGCCACGCCTGTGGGTCACCTCCAGGGCAGGGATCGAACTCACGCTGAAGCAGCTGTGGCCAGCTTGCAGTGCTGTGCCCTAACCCATTGCGCCACCAGGGAGGGCCCACACTGGAAGATTTTAAGTAAAGTAAAAATAAAAACAGAGCTGTAATATTCAGTGAGGCATGAGCAGTTTCACAGTTATAATAATCAAACATGAAGGCCTAAGGGCCATCCTCCAATACTAATTTTATATAACAAAGTGGGATTTAAAAAATAAATCTGATTAGAAATCAAGAAAGCGAAAGGTAATTCTAAAGTCAACAACAAAAAAATGAGAATTATTTAAATCATGAGGACTACTGCTCACTCTCAGATCATTTGATTTCAGAATCATTTGAGTGGAATCATTTTCACTGGTGTAGAAAATTAAGCCCAACTTTCTATCCCTTTTCTCTTCTTATAAAAGAGACTACATCATATCAACAATCTCAAAAGATGGAACTTCCCTGAGTTACCTGCCTTCTGTACAAGGAAACATAAATAATGTACTCTTACAGATTTTAGATCGACAGTATTATACATTTTCACCTCTGGGTAAAGAGATTATTTCTTAACTTCTTTAATTTTATTTTAACAATAAACTTTCATTCAACAATTTTTTTAATTACAAAAAAAGAAAATAGTGAGGTAATATAAACTGGCACAGACCACACACCCTCCCTTCAAATACTGAGGGTTCACCTTCACAAGGAGTTCGGTGAGCTTCTCCTCCCCACTGTAGACGGCTCCAGAGGCTCTCCCTTCTTGCCACACACCATCTATAGAGAAAGTTAGATCCAGCAGGTCAGTAAGTAGGAACTTTGGGAAGACAAGTTCTAATAAAGAAGAGACAGGAAGAAACCCCCTCTGGGTGAAAAAGAGAAAAAAACATTTGAATGGACCTTCAAGACAGTCTTTACCTTGAATCAAGAAAGAATTCCAATGAAGAACTGTAGCCAAATCAAGATGAAAGATTATCAACAACAATGTGGTAAAGTTTTTAACAGCATCTAACCCAGTAACAACACTGTCCTCATTCCCACCTGCCATGCAATAGCAGAAAAACTTTCCCCTCTTTTTACTCACTTTCTATTCTCTGAGCCTGACCTTTTTCTGCAATGGTTTCCTCCTTCTCTCCCCTGCGAACTGTTATGAACTGAGTTAGCAGAAAGAAGCAAGACAAAAGTGTTAAATTTCAGTTTCCTGTCATCAGTTGGAGCCAAGGGGCCAAATCCAGGACTAAACAAACCATGTTGAAACATGCTGGTCTCAGGGGTCCTTCAGATAAGCCTAGAAATTTAGAAGTTGCTTTCAGCAACTTATGCCACAGCTTCCAGGATCAGGAACACTGTCAACACTGGGAGGAAGCTCGGCAGAAGCTCCCTGACACCCACTTCCTGTCTACATTACAGTAACACATCTGTGATGTGGGTGACTGAGGTCCTTTGCTACAACATGCCCATACCTACTGAAAGCAGGTATGTTACAGAAAAACACTAACAAGAAACTACACCCACATGTTTTACAAAGTATCAACACTCCAATGACAGAACAAAGTACTGAGTAGTGACAACCCAAAGAAATCCCTCAATCTCATCCCGTGTCACACTGTGCTACTGGTCTGATTTTCCCTCTTTTCCTTGGAGGACACTGTTCTTTACCAAGAATGTCTTCAGATCAGTTGTTATTAGACCTTTAAAAATACAGTCCTTGGTCTCACTTCCTGCTCTTTCACTGGTGCCAGAGTATAACAATGGTTAGGGACTTAAAAGTGGAAGGGAAGGAAATACAGCACTATAATCATGACAATCTTTAGTATACAGGTGTCAGGGTGCTAATCACTGGTTTATATGACTGATAAATTCTAGAGAGGATCCAATTTTGTGCCACCCAACATCAAAAACTGTTAATTAGAAATTTAAAATGCACCTGTTAATTAGAAATTTAAAATGCACTTATTGAAATGCAATGGTTATCCTGTATTGAACCTAAGAATAAAAAAATGGTATTTGTAGAAAAACTTGTGAAATAGGAACAGAATCTGTAAATTAGTAAAGAATACTGTACCAATGTTAATTTTTCAGTTTTGACAAATACACCATAGTTATCTTAGTGGTTAACATCAGGAAATGCTTCGTTAGGGGCAGAGAGGAAATCTGAACTGCCTCTGCAAATTTTCTACAACTCTGTAATATTCTCTTAATCTGTAACAAATTACATTAAATTTATATTTAACATTTATTCAGCACTTACTAAATGACAAGAGTTATACATTTACATGCTCTTAATCTCTATCACCATCCTTTCAGATAAGCACTATTATTGTTACATATAACTACTTCACTGGTAATATCTAACCTGGTGTATTTATCCTTCTCACATGAACTCATACATGTATGTGTGTGACTACGACACAAAACACTATTAATATTCTGATATATATACACAGATACATATATATCATGTGTTTATCTTTTGATGATGGAATTAGTGATTGAATCTGTATTTCATTTTTATCACATACAATCTTTTTTTTTTTTAAAGATTTATTCACACAGAACTGGGGTACAGGCCAGAGATGCGGAGGGTGAGAGGATTCACCAGAGACAGAGTGGGGAGCAGAACAGGCAAATGATGAAGTACACTGCTGAGGGGAGCAGCGGGCGGGTCAGGAGAGGTCTGCCTCGCCATGTGGATCTCCTCCGGGGCAGGCAGGAATCAAACTCATGTGGAAGTGGCTTAAGCTTTTTAGTGCTGTGCTTTAACCGGCTGTGCCACCAGGGAGGGCCCACATACAATATTTTTAAAAACAAATGTATCTTTTTAGTCAAGCTTAGAAAAGGATACCAAACCAAGTTCCATAGTCTCTAAGATTTGCATACTTTATGGATGAAAGATGAACTTAAATAGTTTTTAAAATACAAAATTCAACCTCTGAAACAGGGAGCTGACCTCCAAAACATGAAGTACCAGGGATGGCCTGTTCTTAACCTTTCATGATGCCCATACCCACCCTGGTAAGGGAAGAGAGGCACTGGAAAAGAATCATACCCATAGAGCTGTATTCCTTGAGCTTCTCCAAAACTTCAGATGAGCTCAGACCTTGCGTGGGCAAAGCTTTCACGTACTCTTTGTCTACTTTCAGGAATGACATGCTCTTGTTAATATCATCCTTGGTCTTCTTCACCTTATCCTGAATCTCCAATGTTAAGAGAAACAAATTAAGAGGCAAATTAGAGCGAGTAAAAGAACCAGTTGTGACATCAACAGCTCAAGGCTGGGCACTCTACAAGTGCTACCGAACAAGGGTGGCATTATTTCTAAAGAGACAGGAGAATATTCTGACTGTTCAGCTACTTTCTGGCATGTACAACAGTTTCTCAGACATCTGAAAAGACCACTTTCTCTTTGAAGGTCAAAGATGCATCCAATCCCACCTCCGCCCACCTTTCCTCTGCCAGGTTGACATCACCACTGCTCTACTTGATCTTCATTTGCTAATGTCAGCATTTCCTGAGGGCAATATCTGGACCTTGTTCCTGTCCTGGCAGCAGCTGGTGTGTGTGCTAAAGAAACAAAGGTAGAGCCATAAACAGTAGCCAGATTTTGTTGCCTGTGCAAGTAATGGACTTTTTCAACAGAGCATACCAGGAATCTGGAAGCTGACTCTACTTCCCCCCAATAAGACACACTGGAAACTTTGAGGAAGACTGCATTCTCTCCTTAGATTATCAAGTACTAGGGAGGAGTTAAGGTCCTTTCTGCTACATAACTTATCAAGTACAGCTATTTCTTTTCCGTTCTCATAGCCACAGCTTCTGAAACATACTCTTTCTTTCATTCATTCACTTACTCCCTTAATAAATAAGTGTCAAATTTAAATGCTGTGGGCAGTAATGCAGGCAATGAAAACTGAAGCAGTGACTCTAGGGTGACAGGTTTGGGGGAGTGGCTGCAGGCCACAATTTGTGTTTCAGTGAGATGGTTTTCATCAGTGTATCTATTAAAGTTTGATGCTCCAGATGTAGATCAAACTATGTAGATTTTCTCATCTCTAGTTGTAGGTGAACAAAATACAACAGGATCTTCTTGTATGTGGCCCTCCTTAAAACCACAGGAAATCCACTCCTTTAGAACATGTCTGTAGCAGCCTACCAGTGGCAGCTAGTAAAGCCCACATTCTTGGCAGTGCCGGGCATGCCATGCACACAGCAGTATTTTCATGCTGTAAATATAAAACCTCTGCCGCATACATGGCAACCACGCAGCAGGAAAGACTATGAAAGCTCAATTTCCATGCGTGGACTATGCTGCTGTGATAAAACAAAAAATAAGAGGGATGTTAGAAAGCACAGCAAGGACTTTCCCACTGCTAGTTCTTGCCTCAGGAGCTCTAGTCACATTAGCCAATTGTAATTTCTTCATAGCATTCAAAATGCAATCCTTACACACTTGCTTGCTTGTTTTCTGTCTAAATATATAAAAAGAGGAAGGGTCTGGTCTCGTTCACCACTCTATCCCCAACACCTGAGATGGCAGCTGACAAGAAGGTGTTCATAAAACGGCATTGAGTAAGTGAATGCAGGTGAGTGGACGAGGGGAGAACAGACGCACACTCAAATATCTTCTTATTCCTGAACCTTAAGATATGCTAATAAAAAATCAAAGGTGGTTATATAGTTAAAAGTGTCTTTTAATTGTTATCTCGTGACTTAAAGAATAGATTCTGAGATTCTAACCTTTGTCTCAAAATTCAAATTGAAGGCAAAAAGTATAAAGGTGGAAGAAATACAGGGACTATGGTGAAATACTGCTCTCTTATCCGTTCTGCTGTCTTTCCCTCTTCCCTACCCTAACTTGCTAAGCACTAAATTAGATTTAATCTTAGGGTTGAATATCACTTGGGGAGCAAATAAAAGTGTATCTACTCTCATTCCCTTTCTTCATCCTAATTATTACTCTGCTTTCCCCCAGGAAAGGAAAAGAACTGAATTCTAGGATAACTATTAGCACAGTAGTCTGGATTTTGGTCAAAAGTGCAGACAACTTACAACTTCTCTGGTTTGTCAAGAAAGGGGAAAAGGAGTAAAAAGGCAAAAGTGAAAGAATGCTTAACAGGACAGCAGGTAAGGCTGGGAAAACTTGCAGGAAAACTGAGGAGAGGCAGACAACTGGGGGAAATGGGACATCAAAGGCTCTCTGGCCTTTCTTATATTTTGCAATGGGGGCTTGTCCTCTGATGAAGAATCTGTGGAAGGGTGCAGAGGTGACTGTCTTACCCACTGTGTTTGAGGGTGGAGAAGAGCATGAAGGGCTCATACTCGACGAAAGATAGGTACAAAGAGCAAGAGAATATCCCTGTCACCTAACTTTCTAAGTCTGGGATCAGCAAAATACAGCCCAAATCTGACCCAGCACTTCTCTTGGCAGAGAGTTTTAGGAACACAGCCAGGCCCATGCCTGTGCTCACCACCCCACTGCTGCTCTCTCTCTACAGGGGCAGGCCTGAGGAGTAGGGCAGACACAGCACGAAGCCTCAACTGGTTCATGACAGAGAGTCTGCCAACCCCTGATCAACTCCCAACCTGAGGATAAATACCGGAAATGTTCATTTAATGTCACTATAAGTCTTCAGAAACTTGGACTTTAAGCAAAATGATATAAAGAAAACCTTGAATACCTTTTCATTTAACATCAGGCAAGATTTTTCTTTCCCTCGTCTTTGTAACAAATTAAATGAACAATATGATGTTGTTCAAGGATCTGCTGTTATCTAAATTCAACCCAGTCAACCACTGCTCCAAAGAATTGTATCTCTAGTAGCAGGTTTTCTAACTTCAAATTCTTCCTTTCTCCTTAAGCCAAATATGCTGGAGAAAGGATTAAGTCATTTCTCTGGCCCGTCTCTGTTGTGGGGGGCTGTCCTGTGCACTGTAGAATGTTTAGCCGGACCCCTGACCAGCACCTACTGATGATAAAAAACACTACCCTCCAGTTACTATAACCAAAAATGTCTTGAAATCTGTGTTCCCAAGGGACAAAATCACCTTCCCCGTTTGAGAATACTAGAGTCACTAAATAGAAAGAGAAAAATATGATTACAGGAGAAGAGAGGATAGAGAGCTGAAGATCTATAGATTCTACTTACCTTGCGACCAATAATAGGCATCTTCCTGATGAGCTTAAAACATTTCTTTTTAAACCTTGACCATAAACCTAAAGAAATAGATGATTTTACTATTCAAGTAAATTTCCATGGTTATGACCTACTAGTCACAGTGAAGAAATATAATATTCAATCTATCTTCCACAACCTTACTTCAGTTCACAAAGGTAGTTTTTTTCCCTTAAAAAAAATCAGCAACATATTTATGTTGTAAACACCAACACGCAGACAAAGTCTCACCTTTCCCAGAGTCCCTGGTAAACACTACTATTAACTTCTAATTACCCTTCTAGAATTTCTTTACATATGTACAAGAAAAAAGATATATTCTTATTTGTGTCTCCTTTTTACCCAAAAGGCAGCACTGTACTAACTTTGTCTACTTAGGAATATATAAGATCAATGCTTCCTCATTATTTTTATAGCTGCAAGTTCATATGGATGTTCCATAATCTATATAACTTGTCCCTTCTTCCTAAAGGGTACTTTAGTTGTTTCTAATATTTGCTACTACAAATCACACTGAAATAAATTCCTGGTAAATTCCCAGAAGCAAGAGTGTTCAGTCCAGAATTATTTCTCTCCCTTCTCCACAAATAACCAACACATGCTATTTTGCTAAGGGTTTGTGCTACAGTCTCTCATTTAGCATTTCATCCTAGCAACAATTTCTGGATCCAAAATTGGGCTGATTATCATCGACATCAATCGAAATCCTTTCTGTTGAACAGTACAAAGGACAAACGCAGAATCTTGATGTTGTTGACTATGAATACATGACATCTAAATAGACTGTATGTCTTTTTTTTTCATAATATCTATTTATTTTACATGCTGTGTGTGTGTGTATATATATATATTTTATAATACTATATTTTTACATCATTTTGTGCCTTTTTCCATCTCAGTTGTAATCTCCATGGGCTTCCCATCACCATATCACCTGTGTGCCATCACCATAGTCCAGTGCACTTCCCTCCCCTGACAGTTTCTGATCCCATTTCCTATTCCACTCCAAAATGTCTCTGGTATAAAATTGTTCATTATTATTATTATTATTTTCTCCCCTGGTACTTTATACTCCTGCTATGAGTGAAACCATCTAGCATTTTTCCTTTTCTTTCTGGCTTATATCACTAAGCCTGATCCTTTCCAGCTCCATCCATGTTGCTGCAAAAGTCTTGTGTTTATCCTTTTTGGTTGCTGAGTAATATTCCATTGTGTATATGTACCACATCTTTTTAATCCTGGACTGTGTATCTTTTAATGCACCCACATTCAATTTACCCCAACTGACTATGACGACAGGATTCTGCAAGTAGCACCGAAGGCATGGCACACTATCCAAAAAGACCCAAGGGGTAGAGCATTCCTCACTCACTAAGGCCACAAATCAAGTCAAGAGAGATGAGAGATTTTGAAGTCTCTGTTTTTCACAGGACTCTATGAAAGTAGAAAATTTCAGCTTTTTCAGACAAAGAAAAGAAATCTAGACCGAGCTTTCATGCAAGGCATGAACTGAATATGAACTTTCACTGCAATCCTACGAGATCTGGGTATTCCGACTCCCTGGCCAGACACTCTTTCAACAGCCAGCATGCGTCTGTATCTTCCTTTGTTATTTGTATCTTCATTAGATGTTTCTGCTTAGGCTACAGGCCTGTCTTTGTTTTTAGCTGTAAATATCTGGAATAAGATCAGGTAACTAAAACAGACTGAATAAGAAAACAACAAGATTGTGAAATCACTGTAGCTACTGCTTTGTTTAATTTTTGAAGTATTTCCTTCCCAAGCAATGTCCAACACACTAATATATACAGCTGAGATTGGGCTGTATGTACACTGCTATATCTATGTTCTTTTCATTTATTTTGCACATCATTAAAAGTTCTTCATTAACATATTTTAAATGTCAACCCTAGAGTCGACCAAAGGAGTAGTCTAGTGCTGGTTATATTTAAGCTGCCTGTTATTTGACTATATATAACAGTATCAATGCTATACCATTTCAAAACTACTTCCTTACTTAACAGATGAAGCAATTAGTGAATGAGGTTGAAAGAGACCTAAAAATTAGCAAACTGAGTCAGGCTTCCAAAAGAACAATAATTTGTCTAAGTGGAAGAGAAAAGAATAGATTAATTTTGGGTAAGTTGTCAGATAGAAATAAAAGTCCCCAGAAATACAGAAAGAAAGGCAGGTTATGCGAAGGCAACACACAGGAAATGCCAGAGACAAACACAGCAACGCACAGCTCAAAGTTAAGAAGTCTTTTCATTCAAGGTACGCCACTCGATCCTGTATTACCCTGTGATTAGACAAGGCAGGTATTATGATCATTGTTTTATTGTGAGGAAACAGGCAAAGAGAGCTTAAGGATGCAGTTGCCCAAGGTGCCGTGGCTAGAAACCAGGAGAGTTTAGCACCTCCTCCTACAGAGAGGTTGGTATCTGTTGATGAACTATGGACAATCCCACAGTTAAAATCAACATCAAGTAGTAGCGATAAGAGCAGACAATCAGAAAGCAGAATTAAGAGATAACATCTTAGAGCACTGCTCACACCTGGCCACCTTCCTGTCACAGCAGTTCTTATCTAGCCCAGTGGCTACCCTGTGTTCCAGAACTACCCCTCCCCTTCAGGAGGGTATTCAGGGTCTGAAGATCAGCAAAATTTCTCACTAGTCCAGACTTTAGACTTCTCTAGAGCAATATACTAATGACTGATACTTCAGTGACCATGTACAAATACTTCTACATGAGCAAGGTACTGGGGAAGAAACAGCAATTCTATCAAAATTATCTTCCATCTCTAGGAAGAAGACATTTTTATCTGTGTCTAAGTTCAAGCTGGGGATTGCAAAAAGTGTGTATTGGTGTTAAACTCTATGAAAATGCCAACAGCAGTAATTTTTGATCCACAAAAGCTCCACTGTATATGGTTCAGCTATTCAGATAGAAATAGATACAGATACATGTTTATCTCTATGTGATTAAATCTTGATTTGTTTTTACATTATTATCTATAGTTTCTAAATGCTCTATATGAACATGTACTACTTTTTTTTTTTTTTTTTAAAGATTTATTTATTTATTCATACAGAACTGGGGTACAGGCCAGAGGCTCAGGGGCGGTGAGAGGCTTCACCAGAGACAGAGTGGGGAGCAGAACAGGCAGATCGACGAAGTACACTGCTGAGGGGAGCAGCGGGCGGGCCAGGAGAGGTCTGGCTCGCCATGTGGTCTCCTCCGGGGCAGGCGGCAGGCGGGAATCGAACTCATGCGGAAGTAGCTTCAGATTCTCAGTGCTGTGCTTTAACCCGCTGCGCCACCAGGGAGGGCCACATGTACTACTTTTATAACAAAATATGTTATTAAAAATAAAACAGCTGAAAAAAAAAATAAATAAAACAGCTGAAATGGTCTGGAGTTCCACTCACGAAGATTCAGGCAGCACATCCCATTCATCTGCTGCTGCTACTGAAATGCTCGTGGACTGCTCGAAGGCCAGTCGGGACACTAAGTTAAGCAGATAACCTAAGTGGGCTGTGCCTTTACCAGCTAGGCAAAATGCGCACAGGCACCATGGACTGCAGAACTGAAAAAAAGTAGTAAGTAACTAAAGCCAATACTAATCACAGCCATGAAATACACATCTCAAGATTCCAAATCACAAGTACCACTTTAAAAGTCAAGCACACAGTGGGAGCTGGGGTGTGGGAGTTAGGGCTTACTGGGCAGTTTCAGTTTAGGATGATGAAAAGGCTGTAGGGATGTATGGTAGACGGTTGCCCAACAATGTGAATGTACTTAATATTTCTGAACAGTAAACAAAAATGGGTTAAATGGCAACTTCTTGTTAGACATATTTTAGAATAAAAAAAGAAAAAAGAAAAAAACATGTATTGCTACTCCCAAGGGTCTTCTGGAGGAGGTCACCTACTCCAGGTCAAGATGGTAGACATTACTGTATGAAATGCTTCCTTGAATCCATTCAAGCAGACATTATCAGGGAAGCAAACAGGAAATTCTAAAAACATGAGAAACGACAAGCAATTTTCTTCAATGTTACTGGCTTCTTATCCCAAGGACATAAACTCAGATATTCTACTGAATACAGCAGGGAAGCGGGGGAATGTTAGGGAATATCCCTTACCACTCTTAACATTTGTATTTGGGTGAAATCAAACAAACTTTACCAAGCACAGTCTTCAGGGTGAAAACAATTCACAAGGAGGTAACATGTAAGCCAGAACGCCAAACTGGGAAGGGGAGAGGAGTGGGTAAGAGAACAACCTAAATCTTAGAAAAGATGGATCTACACACTGTTTACAGGAGACTTATCTTCTTCCTCACTCCCAGGGAAGTGGGCCCCTTCACCCCTATGGCAGTCTGACTCCCTAGGTCACTACCAGGGAAGCGCAATGCACTATGTCCACTGACATGAGAAGTTCAACTCCAGGCCAGGGGATGTAATACTTGTACACGATCCCTAGAGCCTAGCACAGTGCCTGGCGCACTGCAAGTACTCATAGGGGGTCCTCGCACAAGTAACATTCCAATTGCACATAATCTTTATTTAAAAGATGGCCTAAAAAGCAATAAACTTCTACTTGGGGAACTTCAGGTGACACAATAGGTTCTAGGCAAGAAACCAGAACTGAGTTTAAGCCACACTAAGAGATATCCTTGCTATCAATAATTTCTCAAAGTTGTGACGTAGCTGCAAATTCCTATCTACATAAAAAGTTACATAAGAGATATCTATCAAAAGATAATGTGCTACTTTCCACTTCTAAAAATCATAACCAAAAGGTAAGAAGTTAATTCAATGTGTCAGTCATGGGTCTGAGGCTAGTGAAACCCCACTAACCTCTCAATTTGTCTAGCGGGGATGGCATACTTACTCTCAGGCTGGAAAACAAACTCATACAGCCAGACGAGCAGCAGGGTCCACAGGACACTCCACAAAATCAACTGCCAGGGCTCATACTTGGTGCAGTGCCCGTTTACATAATTCTTGGCTTTTGTGGAATATACTTCCAAAATCTCGAAGTAGGGCTCAAAGGCCTTCTAGAAATAGAAGAGAAAGAATATTACATTTAGAGGGTGTTAGGAAGTCTGTTCTTAGCTTGTTCTCCAACGCTCATTTTTCAAGGGCAAGGCCACTGTTGAATCTGGCCCTACCCCGGCAATAATCTTATCATTCTCTAAAGCCCTCAAAGTTTCTGCTCCAGTCACTGCCCCTGACAAGTCATGTGGACTTTGGCAAGATTTTTCATCTTCTGCCTAGACTGTAAAATAAAAAGTAAGCCATATCACCACCTCAGATATAAAGCTTCTATGCTTTGCTTATTCATTGTCCCATTCTCTGAACTCTACCTGATCCTCTCAATATGAATATCTCGCTCTTCTCTGTTTTATTTGAATAGCTTCCATTCTCTAACTCAAGGGTCATCAATCTGTCTCTGAAAAAGGTTCAAGAAAAACTGATATGAAAGAATGCACAAAATGATGTAAGAATAAACTACTATATATATATTTTTTTAAAAAAAAAAAGGTCCAAGAGAAAATAGTATATTCACAGACCAATAACTCAACTCTGCTGCTATAGAGAAATGCTGCCACAGACACAGGTAAACACACGAAGGTAGCTATGTGCCAACACAATTAATTGCAGTTGCTAAAATCTGAATCTTCTGTCATTTCACTTGTCACAAAATAGTCTTTTTAAAACAACTAAAAGAAGATCATTCTTAACTCATGGGCTGTACAGGCCAGTCTTCCAATCTCCTCAAAGAACTTATTTGACTAAGAAACCCTTAAAGCAAGGTCTTTAAGAAACCCTTAAAGCCAGATCTTTTCATTACATGTATCCCTCACGATACACTATACACATCACAAACAAGAAAAATATCCCAGCATCTAAAAACTTACTGTCACATCCCACTCACAAGAATTCAGCTGTCCCAGTGAGTTTGCCTTGGGTACTCACCCTACCTCTACACAGAGCTCATCACAGCCTGCACTGCGGTCCACCATCTGTTTCCTATTTCCCTGACTATATGATTAGTCCCTGAACACAGACCAATTCTGCTACAAGCCCCTAGGCTGCCCAGAACAAAGCAAGTTCATCGTGACAGCTTGTTATCCGTTCACTTACCCAACATTTGTGAAGCAATCCCAGTGTTTCAGGCATTAAGTTGGGGGAGCACTAAGGTAAGTATCACTAGATTCCTGCCCCTGCTGGGTTTACATCTCCTGGGAGAGAGCTATGTGCAAGGGTGTGTAAGCACACACACAGGCCCACACACACAGAGAAGCACACCAATTTAATGAGTCATTAAAACCCTTCAGAATAGGGCCCTCCCTGGTGGCGCAGCAGGTTAAAGCACTGCACTAAGAAGCTAAGGCCACTTCCGCATGAGTTCGATTCCGGCCTGCCCCGGAGGTGACCACATGGCGTGGCAGACCTCTCCTGACCCGCCCGATGCTCCCCTCAGCAGTGTACTTTGTTGATCTGCCTGTTCTGTTCCCCGCTCTGTGTCTGGTGAAGCCTCTCATTGCCCCTAGGCCTCTGGCCTGTACCCCAGTTCTGTATGCACAAATAAATAAATCTTTAAACAAATAAACAAAAACCCTTCAGAATAAACACTCTGTATAAAGAGGATGTCAGTGAAATGTTAAGGGAGGGGAGATGATATCACAGAGGAGAAATCTAAGCTAGATAAAGGGTAAAAGAATGGCCTAAGAAAACTCTCCAGGCAGAAAAATTAAAAAGAAAGAAGTGTTGGCCCTCCCTGGTGGCGCAGCGGGTTAAAGCACAGCACTGAGAATCTAAAGCCGCTTCAGCATAAGTTCGATTCCCGCCTGCTCCGGAGGTGACCCATATGGCGTGGCAGACCTCTCCTGACCCGCCCGCTTGCTCCCCTCAGCAGTGTACTTCGTCGATCTGCCTGTTCTGTTCCCCACTCTGTCTCTGGTGAAGCCTCTCACCGCCCCTGAGCCTCTGGCCTGC